AGTCAAAAATATTGAACACATTACAATAATAATGCCTTTCGATTAATATATCTTTTCCTATTATCACTTGCCCCATTGTCAATCCATTCTGAATGCATTCACCAATGCCACTGAATATGGCTTCCCATTGTGAATGCATTGCCAACGCATTCTGCAATGCCACTGAAAACGGAATCAGCCCAAATTTCAAAATCCCGTTTTGAATATGCATTGGCAAGGTGCAGTCAACGCCAATTCCTGAATGCCTTTTTTGAAACCATTGGGAGAAGTTTGGAGAATGGCGTTGTCAATGCCTTGTCATCCCTTTCTCCCAATGTCAATAAACCAAAGGGCGTTGGAGGCAATCAGCCCCATTCTGAAAACGGCGCTGCAATGGCGTTGTCAATGCCATTCTCAAAATGGTTGCTACCTCAACGCCCCCATAATTTGCTGGGGATAAGCGGATGACACCCCAACATATGGAGAACTTGAATTAGGGAAATTTGAAACCCAAATAAATCCAGCCCAAAATCCTGACAGTGGCTTGAGATATGGACACTTTTTTGACACTTTCCAGAAGAAAAAAATTAATGTTTTTTTCAATTTGATATCATTTCTGGAACAATTTGAGCTATTTATATTCAGCTAAAAAAAAAGAAGAATTTCATCATACATTCACTCTAATTCATGATCAGAGACAAGTTTACCTTGTGCTTCTTTTTCTTTATTTTTCGATTATCTGTGCACTGTCAGGGCCAAATCTGTGGCGCCCTCTGTTGGCTTGCGGTTGCCGCGACATTCACATTATTAAAGCTTTGCACATTGTGGCTAATAGACATTATTTTTCTTTGATTTTTGAGCCTCTTTTTGATGCTAAAGGATCAGATTCTACGACGGTGTTTTCTTCGGTTCTGCTGTTTTGTATAACTAGAAGTTGGGGGAAACAATTTTCATTAAAAATTTTTTGGAGGACTTATTCCCGAATTTTGACAAACGGTAGAGCCAATTAAACGCGTTTGCATTGAATTATATGGGAACATGTGGACAATTCAACGTAGGGACAATGTCTGAGCACTAATTATGCGTCCGCATCTCAGGGTCCCACTGTAAAATAGGATGTTCAATAGGCAAAATCTGCTCATTCTCCTTCTTTTTCAGAAGACCTGGCAGCATTTTGAAAAAGTTACGAAAGAGTCTAGAACGATATTTTTCAATGGTTTAAGCTTTTCCTGCAAGCTTTCACACAACTCGCTGTTTTACTGCTGATGGAACCAGGGACCAAACAATGTATTCTACACCTGCGAAGCCCCATTTTCCTACGAGTGTTATTTTTCTTCCTGCTTTTCTTCCTGTGTTGCTGAGCGGCTCCCTGGTGCTAGAGTGTTGGCAGTTTGATCGATTGCGATTGTTGGGACCGGAAAGGATGGATGTTTTCTTCATATATATATATATACTGTATATAGTCTTTTGTATATATAGAGAGAAGATAAGAAAATGTTTGAGGGAAACGGAGGATCCATCTGGGATTCTCAGCATGCAACTAAATCGATGCTTTTATACACTGTACTGCTTTATAAAACACAAATAATTCCGTGTTGCTGCTCTTCGAAAGGATTTCCTTTTTTTTGCGCATTGAAATCCGCATCTCACCTCGTTTGCTTAGTCAAACTTTTCCCACGTTTTATCAAGGTGGAAAAATCCTTTTGGGAATGAATCATGGTCTCCATGGCAATCAAATGTGTTGCTCGACTTTCATTATCGATGGGAAGAAACATTGCGTTTACTCGAAGCGGTATTCGATGGTATATCGATTCCTCAAAAATCAAGCAGTAAAAATTAATATCTAATTCAGATTTCGTAGGTAAGTTTCGATTACGTAACTCAGTTCTTGTACGGAAATTGAGGAGAAAATTTGCATAATTGTGACGTAGACGGCGAGAATCGGCAATCTGAACTCGTTATTGGAACCAACGTTTCTTGTGAGTTGAAAAAATTAGACAGCACGGACGATTTTTTTTCGAAAATGGTGAAAAATTCAAGGATTCGTGTGGGAACCACGCCATGCTTTCTTATAATGAGTCAACATGAGTCAAATAAAAATACTGGTTATACTGGGAGAATTCGGGACATTTGTTGTTGGATAAAATCATGCATCCTTAAACTCAGAGTTTTCCCCTCCTGAAATTGAATTCTTCCGTCGCACTGCGACTTTTTTCAATCCCATCGTTTATAGGCTAAATAGCCCAGGCATTGAAAGCGTATAAAATGGTTATCAAAAACTAAATCCATGGGAAAACTATTCAATTGATAAATAAGCATTTTCTAGGAAAAATTGAGATTGGTTGCCGCACTTCCCCTATCATTTGGAAAGATATAATTCTGCAGAAAATATTTTCCTGAGTTGCTGTGAGAGTATCTGTGGTCAGTTTTTTTTTTTGTGGCAAAGTTCCCGAAACATACTTTTTAAACTATCATTACATCAAACTCAAAAAAATAGTTACTTGCTGCTCATTGCAGGTTTTTCAATGTTTTTTTTTCCTCATCATAATAATTTGGAATTTTATCTTTGCTAAATCAACTATTTCATCATTTTGTTGACGGGTATCTCTGCTGCCCTCAACAGAGTTGAAAGATTCATTTGATGTGATTTAGTTTTCGTATTTTTATTTCTTCCCCAGGTACTTTCCAGAGACAGTGTGACTGTAAGCGTGGATGCTGTCGTGTATTACAGGGTGCATAATCCGACCATGGCAATTGCAAATGTCACTGACTTCAGGTACGTTGGAAATAAATTGAAGCACTTTATAAACTAAACATCTTCCAGAAAATGCCACTGTTATTCATTTGAAAGATTTAAATTTTCCCATTATTGCCTAATACATTAAACTGGCATTCATTAGAGACCTTTCAATTATTTCGAAAAGTTGCACCTATCTATGGAACCACAGGCGAAGAATAAGGGGAAAAAGACCACGGAAAACTGGAAAATATTTGGATTTCCCACTGATTTTTCGATCTCAGATAGGAATGCATCAAAAAGGCTAAAAGGAAAGGGTTTCTTTATTGTTCAGCTTTTAAGAATAGATTTTGGAAAGGATTTTTAAAATTCATAGAATGTCTTGGACTGGCCTCCATATTAGAGACTCGGCATTTATTGGAGCATTACATTTTATTTTGCTTTTTGACCCATGAGACATTGCCCGGGGCTCGAAAATACCATAATCAGCCTTAAAATTTTGCGCAGTAAAAAATTCCACCACCTGAATTTTTCCACCAAAAGGAGTTCCTTTTGATAGCTTCAATATGCAATGGTGTGTAGACAAATTCTGACATTCAAATTTCAAACTCCAGCTTTCCATATTCGAATATACGTACCCCAAATCATTGCAAAGGTAAATTTTGATGAATTTCTATAAGCCTTCAAGGATGCTGGGAAGCCCACTTTCATTGGGTAGTACTATACAGTATTTATATTTGTGTCATAGGCTCACAGCATTATTTGAGAAATTTCAAAAAAGTTATAGTTTATTTGTTAACACTGGCGGCATGAGTCCCACGAGATATTTTCGAGCCCCCGGATTTTATCTTGGGCGGGTATTTTTCTTGGGTGCACCCTTTGTTCATGCTTTCATGTTATGTGATGGGGCATGGAAATGATGTTTTGCAGTCATTCAACGCGTTTACTGGCGGCCACAACACTCAGGAATGTGCTGGGCACCAAAAATATGTCGGAGATCCTCGCAGAGAGAGAGAGCATCTCGCATACCATGCAAGCCTCCCTGGATGAAGCAACTGACCCCTGGGGAGTCAAGGTGGAAAGGGTTGAAATGTGAGCCAGGGCAAATATGCCACGCTTGAATTGAGACGCGGCTGTCGAGGGGATGTGCAATTTCCTTTGGCAGCGAATCACTTCCTGGCTTGACAGCCGACAAGTCACTGGGACGAGACAGACTATTAACTTTCCTTTTTCTAGCATTTGTATGGATGCTGCAAATACGAGGGGTCCAAAAAAAATTCCCGAAATAAAACTTGAGGCGTAAAAATAAATTAATTTTTCAGACGAGAAAAAAATTCTTTGGCTATACAAAAGAAAGCATGCAGTCCTGTTTCATTTTTTTTTTTGGCAGAATTATTTATGCAAAAGACAAGGCGAGGATATCGCGGATTTTTTTTAATGTGTAATCCGCATCAGCTTACATCCTTCAGCATTCTTTAAATCGACGGGACATAAATTCCAGTGCTATCTTCAAAGGTCATCAGGAAATTTTCGAAAACATCCGCAATTGATGGGGATGATTATGTGGAGTCTGTTTATTGATCAAAATGGCGGAGTGACCTTGGATGAGAACCCGTCAGAGGCAACCCCTGGAATTAATGCCAAGTTCATTTCAGGAATGATGAAGGATGAGCTGGGTTACACAGAAAAATCTGCGAGATGTGCGCTTCATCCTTAGAGTAAAAAGCACCGAAACTGCCAAGATGACTTTTCCAAAAGAATTCCGCAAAATATGCCCAAGATGGCTGCATTTTTTCTCTTATGCCGAAGAAGTTTTTCTGGATAGTGTTTTTCACTTCAATCGAGTATCATATCAATTTTTATTACGAATATACAGCTTTCTTAAACCCTCCCGATCCTCTGAATTATTTAATGCACAGTCTTGAAGCCAGTTCGACAGGGATTGAGAATGTATCAAAGAATAGCACGTTTTCCCCAGTTTAATTCGAAGTAATGTGGGTCACTTGACTTTAAAACCTGGCCGGAATAATATGGCAAGATCATTTCAGAAATCATGCTGGCAAGCAACACACAGCTCATGAGTTGCAAATCTTTTTGGTCGAAACCAGTTTTGTGCATCAGAGAAAAAAAATCCGCATTTTTATTCCTGCAATAGATATTTTTCCGGAGCATTATTATCGAATACAATCGTTATTTTGTTTTTTAATTGGAAATTCCAGAAAAACTACATGGAAATTTTTTTCTCATTCATGTAGGAATTTCTCAGTAAACTGTGAAAAAAAATCTGGGACTGGGAAAGTGTTCATTCATTTCCGAATATTAAAAGAAAGCTTATACTCAATTAGAGCATGAAGTAAGTTCTTATACACCATTAGACAGGAAAGGTATTCTGATTCTTCAAAAATAATCAAAAACGATATAACATATGTGTGGTTTTCTCGTTAAACTTTTGTACTGAAAATTGATGAACACAAAGGAGTAAGACAATCTGAAAATGAGTTCCTTCTTAAATGTATCGAAGTAAGCATCCAGAAATATTTTACAGTGTTTCTGTGCATAATTCCAAAAGAGACGGAGTTCAGTTTTTTCCTGATTTTGACAAACATTTTTTTTACACACTCTGTCAATTTTCCCGCACTTGTTGCATGGGTGACTAATTCTCATTTGCCTTATTCTCCTGCACTCCCTTTTAGACTATCTAAGTTTTTTTTTTTATAAATAAAAGGTATCTCTGATGTTCATGGTCCGAATCAACCGAAAAAATTAACCGTGCGTTATTTTAGCAAAATAATCCGGATTGGAAAGTTTGCAAAAACTAATCTTTAGAATAAATATATAAATATATCTGCAAGGAGTAATTGTGAAATCGGAGAATCTCCAGGTAGCAAAAGAGATAAAGGAAGAGGCTGCTAACAAAATTGTACCTTCTGATTGCTTTCTTGGGGTTGAATCACAGCAAGGACGTGAGACTGCCGGTGATGCTGCAAAGGGCCATGGCTGCAGAAGCCGAGGCTGCCAGAGAAGCCAGGGCCAAGGTTATTGCAGCCGAGGGCGAGCAAAAGGCCAGCAGGGCTCTGAAGGAAGCTGCTGATGTCATCAATGAGAGTCCAGCTGCTCTACAGGTGGGCACATATATAGTACAGTTGAACCCTGGTTACTCAAACCTTCCCATGAACCAAATACAGTCGAACCCCATTAAGACACCCTTGATAATGCGCCACCCTCAGCAATCACCAAAATTTCAAAAGAAACAAATCTCCAATATGTTAAATTCTATAGAAAACCTTGATAAAACACCAACCGCCATCTGCCAGCATTGGTGATGAAACAAAAGTGCTGCTTCCAATTAGTTTTGTATTTGTTACAACGCCAACATTTGGGTGGAATTATAATTTCTGCCAAGGATCTTGTATTTGTAAGGAAAATAATAATATTGACCATTTTTTTGAAAATTATATTGACCTAATCTTAAAACTTTCATAAATTAATGCAGCAAAATTTATTTTCTGAAAGAGTAATCCATTGATCACAGCAATACTCTTTGGAAAATTACTGAAGTTTCTTACATAACCTGTATCTCCATGACTTTTGGAGAAAAATTTAGTATTTTCAATAAAATAATTAAAATTAAATATTCAATAAACCTCCAACCTCTTTAAATCACCAAAATTGCTCTGGACAAATGGTGTCGTCTTTTCGGGGTTTGACTGTACCTCCTGATATAAGCCAATACATTTTTCAAAGCCCTCTCTGAATTCCCTTGGAAAAATGCGTAAAAAAAAACTTCTTGAACCCTTTTGTGGCAAAGTCGTACATTTTTATACAAATTTTGGGTGCTCTGCAGAAAAAAAAAGGAATCATGTGTCAGTGTGTGCTCACAGGGAAAAATTGGCAAAAATCCTAACTTTCCTTTACTTGCTCTCAAGTCTCACTAAAAAACTCCACTCAGAATAAAATAGTGCATTTTCCAGAAGAGTTTTTCCCTCGGTTTGTATATTGTTGCAACATTCAAACACAGGTGGTATACCTTTTGGAATTTGACCTCCCCCCCCCCCCCCACAATTTATCCACCCGCAAATTTTGATAGTCTAATTTGTGGGTAGGTTGACTTTCAATTTAACCTCTGCCCTGCAATTTGACCCACAGAGAGGTACATAAACATAAAAAAGTATGCAGAAAACATTGCATTTGACACTGTTTTGCAATTTGACTGCTTCACAATACAACCTTAGTCACCCAGCAATGGATTAGTGTCAAATTGTGTCGCACCACCTCTACTGATTTTGCGCTTGAGAGCCATACAGGACCCCAGTTTAGACTCTTCAGAGTAGGTCACTGCCAAAAAAGTCTGACTTTGAGGAATAATAGTGACTCCATAAAATCCAAATTTGCCCCTCTTAACTTTGCAGTGGTTCTACAAACTTTAGGAAAAATTAAATGGAGACCAATCCAACGAAAGTCCACTTTCATCCAGCAATGGAAAGGAACCCTTCACTGTGGAAGGGTTTAACTTTAAAAATTTTCCTCTGAAACCTCCGTAACTGGAATTTTCTGAGGCCTTTTGGCTTGATGCAGGAAAGATGAGAGCAAGAATAAGTGGCTTGATGTGTTTTGGAAGGAAGTGAAAGACTAATGGGAAGAATGAACTCCTATCTCTCCATTTTTAGCATCCTGTCAAATCATTCAAGAAGCAATTGAATGCCCCTTATATCACCATCTATGATATCCTGCAATTTTTCTATCTTTTCCAGAACAAAAATGATTGTTTCCCTGAATCAAAACCTCCCTAACTCAATTTTTTTTCTGCTCATGATCCATTGAAATTTGACTTTAACGAGATTAAACTTAAATTTAAACTTAATCCAGTCTTCGCATTTTATTCACTGCGTATAATACCGGGGGACTATATATATGCTGTATACTGTAAAGCTCCCCGAAAGGATCAATGAATAATAAAAAATACTGCGGGTTTTTCAGGGCAGCGAATGTCCCATAAATCCTGAGAATGCTTTATACCATGGCTTAATTGTGTTATGGGGTTCGGAGGTTCTGGTGTAGCACCCAAGAGGTTTCTGCTGAGCGTCCCTCATGCACGCAGCTGCAATCAGTAATTATTGCTGCGCAGTCTAATCCCTTATTGTCCTGAGGGCAGGGAATTATGCAGGCTACAGCCCTCCCAATTAGCAGCATCCCGATTAGCTAATGTTATTACAGTGAGGCGCTGTTTGCTTCCCTCAAAAAAGGGGAGATTTCTTTTCCGACTTCACATTTTTGCAAGGAATAATCCAGCTGTTTTCGAGTCTTGAGTGAGAACCCAAGATGCCGACATAATTGGTGCATGAAGAGTGTCCCCAAGTTGAAATGTCCCTAAGTTTAGTCTGGTTTTCCCATAGACTTACATTATATAATTTTTAATTGGTGTT